TAGTGTACAAAAAATGAGAGCCAGCTGTTCTCCATCTTTTATGATGAAAACCCCGAATCAAGCGGGCTTACGCTTTTACATCTGGGAATCAGATTAGCCAAAAAGAACTTCCTCCTGGGAGGCGTTTAAATGCTGGAATTGAATATTTAGATAAGGTTTGAGATCTCACTCTATGGCAAACAGTGGCTTAAATTTAATGCTGGGTCTCAAAAAAAAAAAAAAAAGAGAAAATTAAATTCTGGGTCTCCTTATACTCTTAGTTAACTGCCAAATAAACAGAGATGCACAGGGCCTCCCATCATTCCACCCAGCATTGCTGGGCATTTACACTTTCGGGACATCTGTTGTCTGTAAGTAAGAAGTGAGCTCTGGATCTCTGTCGGCCCCCAGGGAGGTGCCTCCATCCTTCAGGTAGGAGCAGAAGCCGCCCTAAGTGGATGCACTGATGTCTGGAAGTCATTAAACAAAAACCAGGCTCATTCTCATCTACAAGAGGGTGGTTTCTGTGTGGTCCTGCCTGAAGGCGGTGATGAGGGCTGCCTGCTCTCCCCAGGTTGGTTCTATGATTTTATCAACGTGCATAATTTGTAAGCTCTGGGTTATTTTCCTTTCAGTAAACCTTTCCTAGTGCTGAGTAAACATCTTCCTGGGGAGGGAAAACAAAGTGTTTCTGCTCTTACAAAATGCTCCCGTGCCATACTCGCCTTTAACAGCCTAAGGAGACTTGGTGCCCGGCTGCTGGGGAAAACAGTGCACCTTGAGACGTGAGCACATAAAATAGCAGCTAACTGGCGCCACCTGGAGGGAACGAGGCGTCCAAACGACAAAGAACGTTAAAAAACGTTGTAAGTCCAAGGTCACACTGACGTAAATCCAAACATTTTAGGAAATGTTTAAAAATGAAATTTCCTGCTTCTTTTCTCCTCCTCTCTTCTCTGAATCCACCCGGACATACCACAAGGGTGCTGCGGCCTCACTCTCACTCACACAGGCCTTCAACTTTAGATTTGACGTCGTGTCCAAAGGAGGCTATGCGGTCAGCCATGGACCCTCACTGCACACGGGACACTCTGTTATTACCAAAGGGCACCACATGTCGTGCCGTGTTGATCATACTTGAAATAAACCTCAGAGTTACACTGTGTCTCAAAGTGTCATCCGCTGATACTCTTCATCAGAATCAGTCGGGGTTCAGGGCTTCAGTTCAGGCCTTCTGAATCTGCAATTTCTTTCATACTACACCAGATCGGTCACTGGGAGGAAGTAAAATTTGTTTTTTATTTTAAAAAACACGTATATAGTGCTTACTCTCGGTCAGGCACTCTTCTTAGAACTTCATAAATATTAAGGTATTGATGTATTTATTTCATCTTCTCAACAACCATGGGAACCTAGGTGCCATTATTATCTATTCTTGATGAGAAAACCAAGGTCTTGTCCAACTTGTCCAATGTCACACAGCTAGTAAGAATGTGGCAAATCCAGGCAGCCTGGCTGGAGAATTTGAGCTCCTAACCACCATCCCATGCTGCCTCTTAAATGCAGGAAATATTCTCAATTGGAATTTTTTTAAAACTTTCACTTTGTTGGCCTTCATTTATTTTTGGTATATCTTTTCTCTTTGCACCTAAATATAGAAAATATAACTACAGCCTGGTAATGAAAAACTTCTATGATATGTTAAATTGTGAATTTTACCAAAAATACAAGGAAGAAATAATACCAATTCTATGAAAACTATTCCAGAAAATTAGAGGACAGAATTCTTCCCAATTCATTCTATGAAGTTAGCTTTACTCTGATATCAAACCTAGATAAAGACATTTCAAGAAAAGAAAACTATAGCTGATATCTTTCAAGAACATAAATGTAAAAGTTCTAAACAAAGGATTAACAAATTAATAAAATATAAACATAAATCAATGTAATTTACCATATTAATAAACTAAAAAAGAAAAATCATATGTTCATCTCAATAGATATAGAAAAAGTATTTAATAGAATCTAACTTTCATTTGTGATAAAAACTCACAGCAAATTAGGAATAGTAGGAAACTTCTTCAATTGGATAAAGGACATCTTTGAAAAATCTACAGCATTATACTTAATGACAAAAGATTGAATACTTTCCTCCTAAGTTCTGGAATAAGAAAAGGGTGTCTACTTACACTGATTCTTTGCGATATCACACTGGGGGTTCTAGTCAGTTCAGTAAGTCAAGAAAAAGAAATAAATACATCCAGAATGAAAAGGAGGAAGTAAAACCGTATTTGAAGACAGCATGATTGTCTATGTAGAAAATCTGATGGAATCTACAAAATAGCTACTACAACTAATAAGTGAGATTGGCAATATTCCAAGATACAAGATCAATATGCAGAAATCAATTGCATTTCTATATACTAGCACAGAATAATTGGAAATTTTAAAATAACACTTTTTAGAACAGCACCAAAAAATACTTAAGAGAAAAATCTGACAAATGGTATGAAACACACGGACAAGTGAATGCTACAAAGCATTGCTAAGAGATAGTATAGAATACCCAAATAAATGGTGAGTTCATGGGTGGGAAGACTCAATACAGTTAGGGTGTCAGTCCTCCCTAGATTGATCCATAGATTAAATGCAGTCGCAATTAAAAACCCCACACGCTTTTTGTAGGCACTGATGGACTGATTCTAAAATTCATATGGAAATGTAAAGCACCTAGAATAGCCAAAACAACTTTGCAAAAGAAGAACAAAGACAGAGGGCTAACATTATCTTATTTTAAGATAAATAATAAAGCTACAGTAATCAAGATAATGTGGTATTGTATAAAGATAGACAAACAGATCAGTGGAACAGAGTAGACAGTCCAGAAATAGACCCATACATATTTGGATAATTGATATTCAACAAAAGTACTAAGACAATTCAGTGGAGCAAGAATAGTCTTTTCAACAAGTGGTGCTGGAACAATGGAATGTCCGTAGGAAGGAGAAGGAGGGAATGGGGGAAGGAAAAAACAGAACACAGACTTTGATACCATCTTTGTACCCACACAAAAATTAATTCTTGGCCAGACACAGTGGCTCACAACTGTGATCCTAGCACTTTACGGGGCCAATGTGGGAGGATCGCTTGAGACCAGGAGTTCGAGACCAGCCTGAGCAAGAGCAAGACCTCGTCTCACAAAAAAACAGAAAAATTAGCCACAGTGGCTCATAGTCCTAGCTATTCAGGAGGCTGAGCCAGGAGGATTGCTTGAGCCCAGAAGTTTGAGGTTGCAGTGAGCTATGATGATGCCACTGCACTCTAGCCTGGGCGACAAAACAAAACCCTGTCTCAAAAAAAGAAAAAAATTAATTTTTAATAGATTACAGATCTAAATGTGAAACTTAAAATTATAAAATTTCTATAAGAATGAGAAAATCTTTGTGACTTTGTATTAGGCAAGGATTTATTAGATACAACACCAAAATCATAATGTATAAAAGAAAAAAATTGATAAGTTGGACTTTACCAAAATTAAAAACCTTCTCTTTGAAAGACACTGTTAAAATAATGTAAAGATAATGCCTTTTAAGGTAGGTAGAAAAAGGTCAGAGAATGGGAACATGAGTGGGTGGCAAAACTCTAATAGTGGCAATACTGACCAAGGAAAATGTGTAGAGAAGAGCGTTGGTCTAGATCTCAAAAGAACCTTTCACCAAGGCCTAGGGGTAGAAGGGGAATCCATATTGGAGACTCAGAATGAGTGGCCAGAGATATAGCAAAGGTAATTAAATAAACCATCCTATTCTACTGACCAATGTCTCTATTCCAAAATCTTTTGTTTGCCCACCTCCCCCCACCACCCTACCTCTATTCCCAGGTCTCCTGGCTACAGGAAAAGAAAGCAATAAATGTAACTTCCTTGCCCTGAAAGAAAGAGATTAGATTAAATAGAAAGGATAAAATAAAATATGTGGTAGCTGATTTCAGGGAAATATTGCTACATCCAAGGTCAGGCATATATATATATTTTTATATGTGTATGTATGTGGTGTTTGTGAGGAGATGTATGTGCAGAGATAGATAGGTCTCAAAATAAGTCTCTCTGAAGGTATGGAGGGTAATAAACATCTCCAAAAAGGGCAAGTGATCAACCACATTAAATATAGCCTAGAGGCCCAGCAAGATGAGGCATCTGTTGAGTTTTGGCAATGTGGAAGTTGGTGGTGATCCTAGCAGAGTTTAGTGGGGTCCTATAAGCAGAAGATAGATCTCATGCTACAGGAGGTACAAATGTGAAATGAAGAAATAAAGAGAGAAAATGAGAGATTGCTATTAATAAATCTGACTGAGAAAAGGTGAGGTACAGTGTTGAGGGAAATAGAGATGCAGTTCAAAGGGAGAGACATATTTCAGAATAGGAGAGACCCACGCTTATGTACAGGTTGAGCAACATGGTAAAAAGAGAGGGAAAAAATAAAGACATAAGAAATGAGGGGATGGTTGGTCAAGGTTGGAGAGAAAACAGCATGTACTCCGGGAGACCACAGAAGAGGAACATTAGCGGACGGTGACATCTCATCCCTTGAATACGCAGGAAACAAGTCAAGACACCAGGCAGGTGTACATAAATGTATAGATCCCTCTACTTGGGTTGATGTCCAGCCTCTGAAGCTCCTGATTGCTCCCCTCCCTCGCAGTCTCTTTCTGACCCATGTCCATCCTGCAGAAATTCGAATCCAGTAGCCTAACTACTGTGGGAGTACAGTACCAGTGATTGGAATACAGTAGTGAACACACCTGATTTGACCAACTTTGTTCCAAGCAAAGAAGTAGAGCTCAAAAAAGTCAAAGCAACACATTCATTGATTCATACTTATATTTCTAACTTGTACTTTCAGTGAGAGGATGAGATCAACTTGAAAAAAATGGAATCCAAGTTCTGAGAGCCTTCCGAAGTTGCTTCACGAGGCTGAGCTGTGGTGGAGGCTGTTTGTTCTTTAAATCCTGGAATGTTCGGCTTAGTCTTCTAGAGTGTCTGTATTGAGAGCGCTGGTCCAGGCTACCAGATCGTCCACTTCCTCTTCCCAGGACTCATCCCTGTCACTTTCAGATGATGAAGTTTCTCTGTCCCACTCCTCTTCTGTTTCATAAACCTCTGTGATAATATTTATTTCAGGCTGTGGCTCAGAAGAAATTTCGTCTATGGTGGGAATTATGAAAAACAGAAATTTAAGAGACATAAAAGGAAAAACAGTGAAAAGAGAAGAATTCCTGCAAAGCAAATGTTTTAATCTTTCTAAATTTCACATTTTACAATTAATTTTGTCATAAATCATGCCTTCCATTTTGCTCAATCTTTTCATCCTTTGTCAGTTCATTCATCTAGCTGGTATTTACTGAGTCCCTGCTGTATGCCGATTGATGTATAAGGGAAAAAGTGCTCCCAGAGCACAAAAGGGAATCACTATGTCTAAGTGAAAATAAGCTTAGACTTTAAAAGATAAGAAGCAGTTTGCTAAACAGAGAAGGGCAGAGAAGGGATGTCAGAATACTTTAGATAGAAGAAACAGCACATACCGAGATGGAGAGGGTATGATGGTTAGAGGCAATCATAGTGGACACTCCACATTTACACTGTGCCAGGTACTATGCTAAGCAGTCTACATAGATAATAGCCTTTAACTCAGACACAACCTCAGGACAGGCAGGTATTATTATCCTTATTTTACAGATGAGGAATCGGAGTCTGAGCAACCTGCAGTAACTTGACCAAGGACACCCAGCTGCTAACAAGACTTCATTGCAGGTCTATCTCATCCCAAAACACAATGTTGCAGTGTACAGAAAGCTCAGTGGAGCTGAAAGGGAGGCTGAGGCCAGATCAGGAGAGCTCATATGTCATGCAAAGGAGATTCATCTTTATCTGATAGGCTTTGTAAACAGGGCAATAAGCTGATTATATTTTTAAAAGAAGAATATGTACATAATATCTAAATTTCTAGATCTATATTTCCACTCAGCATGGGGACCTTGCTTTCTGGGGACGAATTCTCGTTGGTGCTATTCGTGTTCTTTTAACTCTACAACCTTACTGCATTCTCCTTCCTTTTGCATAGTTGCCTAATATGGGTTCCAGGACAAATTCTGTTGATGGCATACATTTATTTCCCCCATTTACACACAAAATGAACTTTTGTAATATTTGTTATGTTATAGACATGGGCTATAGGGGACTTTCTTTCTCTCTTTGGTTTATAGAAGGATGCATGGAGAGATTTGAGTTTAGACTGCCACCGTTATCTTACGGGTACCCTGAGGCCTCTGCTGATTGAGGTTTTTTTTTTTTGTATTTTTGATACTGATTTTTAGTTTTAATATATTTAAAACTAAATTCTGTCTGTGCCTTGAGAAAACTATCTACTTTATTTTCTATGAACATATTGGTGATGAACTAACTCCAGTTCTTTCTAACCATGTTTGAGCCTTTCCGACTCCATATGCTTTTGATTACAAGAAATATAAAGCCCCAATTCAAACCAGGCTAAACAATAGGGAAATGTTTTATCTCACATTAAGAGGAAATCCAGAGCAGGGGGCAGGACTGACTGAGACAGTGACTCAATAATATCACTAAGGACACAGCTCTTGTCACTGCTCTGTTCGCTATCTTAGGTGCTGTCTTCCTCTTCAGGTGTGTAGCGAGAGAGCCGTGGCCGTCCTATCACTCCCATCAGACACAGCGCCACCTAGAGGAAAAAGGGGTCTTCTCTCCAAGGTCTCATTTTTCAGTGGGAAAACCATCCCCTGAAGTACCCAGTGTATATCTTCTCCGGCAAGATTGTGTCACAGCCCATTCCCAAACTAGTTACTGGGGAGGGAAATGGGATTACCATGAGTGGCTGACATCAGTTGGTGGGATGGAATGAACATGGGGAGTCAATCACCTTGACTATTTGCCCCCTTAAAAACTCCTGGGAAGTATGCTAAGAAACCTGGCTAGATTAGCAGAACATAATGAAAACAAATACAGAAATGTTTTCTTAGAACGTAAAAAAGTAAATATTATTTTGAACTTCTTTCCTCCGGAAAATCTTAAGTATTATAAATCTCTCTGAGACATCTTGGATTTGGTGGTTGGAATCAATAATAAAAGTTGGGACTTTATTACCATGTTAACAAAATAAGTTATGAAAGCACAAATTCAAATTGCCATCTATTTTATATGTCTTTCTCACTTGGGATGGAGCCTGGAAATTCTGCCTCTTATAATTTTTTTAATCTTAAAGTAATTTAGTAAAAATATTAAAATCTATGCTGGTTAGTAAGCTCTGATTATTGCTGAATGGCTTATTTCCATTCACTCCTGTTCTCAGTCTAGGGTCAGTTAGGAAAACAGAGCCACTACAAGCAATATAAGAAGGAGGGGTTTAACACAGGGATTTCAGATTATCTAGGTGTGGGGGGACCTAGGGGAGTGGAGGTCTGGAAAGCTACACCTGGGAGAACTGGAGAAACCGTCGCTACCTACTGTAGCCTGATGCACTGATGTGAGGAAACCTGGAGTTTGTGAAGTACAAGGAGCTGCATGCATTTAGCCACCCAAAGTGGGACAAAAATGGCGAGTTCATGGAGACATCTGTGAAGCCGCCATGTCTGTGAAGTGGGACTTTGTGAGGAGGTGTGAAATTGCTGTGTTTGAGGAAGCCACCAAGCCCCATATAAACAACTTCCCAAACATAATGTCCCCTTCTTCCTTCCTGCCTCCTAAATCTCAGTGAGTTTTTCCCATTGGCAAACCTTCTCTGCAAAAGAGGAACACAAAGTTCATTCCTTTTCTGAGTCATACTTCCCTTTGATATCCTATATAAGTTCCCTATTACTACATAACAAACAACCACAAAATCTTAGTGACATACAACAGTAAGTATTTGTTTAGGTCACACATCCGAAGGTCAGTTGGAGGTTGGCTTTCTTGGCTAGGGAATGGCTGGGAAACTTGGCTGTGGAAGCTGAACTCTATGTCTTGCATCTTTCTCTGTGATCAAAGGGCTAGTCCAGGTGTGCTCGTGTGATGATGGCAGGAAAGAAAAAGAACAAGCCGAATCACACAAACCCTTCCCAAAACCTGGGCACATCAAACCCATTAATATTCCATTGATCAAAACAAGTCACAGGGTAAAGCTCAAAGTCAGGGAGCAAGAAAATACATTTTGCCTGTGGAGATGGAACAGGAATGAGTATTTCTGATCACCCAATTTACCACCACCTCTTAGGTACGGTCTCTTCCAGAGTAAAAACAAAGACTAGTCTATTTCATCTTCAAAGAGGACAAGGCTCAGCACTGGAGAGCTAATCATTCCCCTTCTAGCTAGGCATTCCTCCAGATATTCCTCTTCTAGCTTACCTTTTGTTTTCTCACTCATCATAAGTCTCCCCACTTTTTCCAAAATCACAGGGCTGCTAAGAGCATGTCAATTCTCCTTCATCCTACCATTCATTCACTCGTTTGTTCATGGGCGTTGACTAGCTACTATCTCCACGCACTAGGCTGTGGGAGATTGGGAGGTGAGCAGCCCCTCCCCTAAAGGAGCTCACTCTTTACCAAAGGAGACTGGCTGTCAAGAAACAGTAACACAGTATGTGTGGCAGAGACTCTGAGATGGCCCCTTAGGGTCTCTTCATCTTGGTGTTCACACCTTTGTAATCCCCTCCTTCACAGAGCATGGGTAGGACCCGTGACTTTCTTCTAACCAACAAAATATGACGAAGGTGATGGGATCTCACTCCCAGGATTGTTACATTATATAAGACTCCGTCTTGCTATCAGACTTGCAGTACAGACTTCCCCTGCTGGCTGGATGAAGTAGGAAGCCATGTCGGGGAAGCCCACCTGGCAGGGAACAGTGGGCAGCTTCTAGAAGCTGAAGGTAGCCTCCAACATACACCCAGCCAGAAATCAGGGCCCTCCGTCCTAAAGAAAGAAAATGAATTCTGTCATAACCTCACTGAGCTTAGAAGCAGATTCTTCTCCATTCAAGCCTCCAGAGTGAATGCAGCCCAGCTGACACCCTGAGTACAGCCTTATGAGACCTTAAGCAGAGGATCCAGCTAAGCTGTGCCTGGGCGCCAAGCATACAGAAATTGTGAAATGATAAATGTGTGTTGTTTTAAGCAGCAAGTGTGTGGTAATTTGTCACATAGCAGCAGAAAACTAAAAGAGCATGATGTGGCCATGATAACCACAGAGAAAGTTTTCTAGAGAAGGTAGTACTTGAACTGAATTTCAAAGGATGCTTAGGTAAAGAAGAGGAGAGAAGGCTGGGCGCGGTGGCTCATGCCTGTAATCCTAGCACTCTGGGAGGCTGAGGCGGGCGGATTGTTGGAGCTCAGGAGTTCAAGACCAGCCT